TCCTGGCAGTGTAATGATGCACAAAATAATTCAAAATTCACTTGGACATCCATTGAAAAATATAAGGATTCCAAGATCAATTGATTTTCCATGTGTTGCCTGCTCTCTTGGAAAGATGATTGTCAGGCCATCTCTAAATAAAATTGGAGTTGAATCTCTTGCATTTTTAGAAAGAATTCAAGGAGATATTTGTGGGCCAATTGCCCCAGCATGTGGACCATTTCGTTATTTTATGGTGTTGATCGACGCATCAACACGTTGGTCACATGTTAGTCTTTTATCTACAAGAAATTTTGCATTTGCAAAACTCCTTGCTCAAATAATACGTTTAAGAGCTCAATTTCTGGATTATTCAATAAAGAAAATCCGACTTGATAATGCAGGAAAATTTACATCTCAATCATTTAATGACTATTGCATGTCTATTGGGATTGATGTGGAGCATCCAGTTGCTCATGTGCACACTCAAAATGGTATTGCTGAGTCTTTAATAAAGCGATTACAATTAATTGCTAGACCATTATTGATGAAATCCAGTTTACCTGCATCTGTTTGGGGCCATGCTGTATTGCATGCTGCAAATTTAATTCGGCTAAGGCCTACTGCAAATCATATTTTTTCCCCATTGCAATTGGTAAATGGAAAAGAACCAAATATTTCTCACATAAAAATATTTGGATGTGCCGTATATGTACCAATTGCTCCACCACATCATACAAAAATGGGTCCTCAAAGAAGGCTGGGAATTTATGTTGGCTTTGATTCTCCCTCAATTATAAAATATCTTGAGCCAATGACTGGTGATTTATTCACAGCTCGGTTTGCTGACTGTCATTTCGATGAGACAGTATTCCCAACCTTAGGGGGAGAAAATGAGAAAAAGGACCCATGTACGAAAGAGATTACATGGAATGCAACATGATTATCTTTTCTTGATGCAAGAACAAATGCATGCGAACAAGAAGTGCAAAAGATAATTCATTTACAAAATGTTGCAAATCAATTGCCTGACGCATTCACGGATTCAAAGAAAGTGACAAAGTCACATATTCCTGCTATGAATGCTCCTGGCAGAATTGAAATTCCTTCAGAGAAAAATGAAAAAAAAAAACTCTTGCAAATGAGTCTTCAATACGCAAAAAGCGTGGCAGACCACTTATTTCAAAAGATGTAAAACCAAGAAAACTTAAAAGGCAAGAGACAATACTTGAAACAAAAGACGTTCATTCTTCAAAGAAAGAAAATGAACGAACCGAGCATGTTGATATAAAAAATAATATCAACGAACAATTTGTTTCAAATGAGGATTTAACCATCTCTGAAGATGCGAATAATTCAGATGAAGATAGAAACGTTGATAATTATGAGATTTCAATAAATTACGTTTCTACGGGAT